TTTATTAATTTTTTTTGTTATATAGATCACATTCACTATAAAATCTTCATGATAACATAACAGTGAAATGAAAATCATGTTGAAAAAGAAACTTGCTAATTATTTGTAATAGTTGTTAACGGTATTAAAGATAAATATGTGGTATTGGTACTAACTGGAATAATCAGTAAAATGCTGGTATTCAACCGGTAAGAGGGTCTGTGCCGCTTCTTTACCGGGAATATAGTAAGTGTATTTTAAAGTATGTATACAACTGTCACGTGAACTAAGTCACGGACAGGGTAAAGTAATAATAAGTTTCAGCAGCTAATGCAGTAATAGTATTAAGTAAACTTAATAGTGGCAAGCTGAAGGTCTGATGACTACGCTACAATTCAATGTGCGCAGTTTACAGCCTTAAAAGTAATAACAACCTGGTCCCATGACCTCTTGACTCTGGCAAGGGTTTACGGCCGGTGTATAAAATACTATATCAGGTCCGATGACTACGGGTCAACTCAATGCCCGCAGTTTACGGCCTGTAGTAAAATAATAACTATAAGTTACTTAAAAAAAACACAAAGTTACTGCAAGAGTACAATTTAATTTATTATACTTCTAAAAGCTTATACATATGAATCATACTTATTTATATGGGTTACAAATCATACAGTTATAGAATGAGTTAAGTAAATAATACCAAACCAATAACCATGCACATGGGACAACAGTTTTCGAGCCAGCTATTCACTGCCCACCCCTGCCCCATCCGCCACAGTACACTTTCGTGGTTCGGTCAAACAGGCTATCAAAGGGGAGCAACGAGTCACAGAAGTCATTAAAATTTGAAGTTTTTGCATATATATTATAATAAAGTTTGTATAATGGATTTTAATGTTCGCCGAAGAGCGTGATACGGTTACTGTAAAATCAAGATAATCGTACAGCAGCTACATTACTTTTTTACAATCCAAATATCATATATATTATAATAAAGTTTGTATAATGGATTTTAATGTTTGCCGAAGAGCGTGATACGGTTACTGTAAAATCAAGATAATCGTACAGCAGCTACATTACTTTTTTTACAATCCAAATATCATGGCAAAAGTGCACGAACATTAAATTCAAAATTTAAAAAAATATTAAATAAGATTGGCTGAGGCCCCCCCCCCCATGCACTGCGGGGTCTAGCGGCACTGTAGTTCCGCCCCTGTGCTGAGTTGCTGCTGTTACTTGTGTTCCAAATTAGGTGCTTGACGCATGCGTACTAAACTGTGTTTTTAGCGTCCTCCGAACTGGTTATTTCGATCTAGCTTACGACCTTGGTTATCTAGTGTACCCTGTCAGGCGCTGTATGTTAAAGATTATGTACTCATGCGTGTAGTTTCGGTTGAGTGAATTTAATTTTGTGTTTTCAGGTGTGAAATGAAAGTCACTGTTCAATGATTTCGTGCTATTTTAATATCACGGCATGTTTAATAAACTGCGCAGAAAATAATAATATTGGCCCACATAGCGGAGAGTGGGTAATTCGTATCCCTTAAGGAAAAATGAAATTAATTTGAAAAAAAGCTTTAAGTCGGAAACAGTTTTCTTTTTAAGTTGAGGCAATCTTTATTGTTTCTAGACTAGACTAGAAAAAGTGTTTAATGTATACATATCAAATCAGTTATAGAGAAAAATGTATACTCATAGGGTTCCAAATGTACCACTAGTATTGCAACAAATGTGTTATTTTCTTTACAACAAATTTCACTGCTAAACCTTGTGTAGTCGCAAAACGTTTAGATCTACAGGTATAGTTCTCACATAGATACCTACGGCTCTATTCCAATATTTCGACAAGAAATCAAGTAATTGGCCAGCATGCGTCAGCCAAGAAGAGACTCGGGCTCGACATGTGAAGAAGTATTAATGGATATTGCTTCAGCCCACCTCGTATATAAAGCTACTTGTATTTATTTGTTAACACTGTATGTGCGCGTTTCTGTATGTCTGGGTGTGTCTCTATACGTCTGTGTGTCTGTCTTTGTGTCAATTGGTTTGCTCTTATGTTGGTCTTTATCAGCCAGAACTTTTTTTTAAATTCTCCACCATAAACTAAATTAAGAACGCAGAAGAAAAAGAAGAAAAGGTATACACGATAACATAATCAAAAAGATCACGAAAGCAGATATAAACCACCACAACGCAATACTGTAACAAAAAATCTGGCTAGCTTAACACAGCAGACATAGAATATCATTCAGTGTGCGATTGAGGTCACTAAACTGTTCATCAGAGTGTGACTGTCGACACAAACGTTATGTTAGAAAACACATTTTCAAATAAAGCATTCACGCGGCTATGCTGTCATTTTGGAGGCGTATAAAAATCTTGGCCTGCTGTATGGAGTCTAAAAGCTTTTTTACGTCAAAAGCGGATGTCATTAAAACTTGTTTAAAAGATCTCTAGGACGTTCCCACCTGCTTTACAGTGCGACGGCCGAAGTGGTTACGCATGACAGGCGGTTTAATAACATATATTTTTAGATTTGAAGGCAGTGCTGCTTTTTGCATATTCTGAATAGTCTGCTCTACTTTATGATTACCATTTAGGACAGCAGTTACAGATACGTTAAAATTTTAGCATTATATTTAAAAAGCTTAAAATGATACACCGCTATATTTGTATCAATTAATTAAAATTCTGTAAATAACAACCTTATTAAATCTTAAATATTATTTGTTTGATTTAAACAATTATTTCAGTTACGGGGGCATTTTAATTCTGAACTTGAACATTTAGTGTAATTTTAATAACCTATATAGCAGCTTAAAACATAAAAATGTGAGAAGTTCCTTTTTGCAGCTACATAGCTTATCAGATACATCGAAATACATATTTTTATAATTTATAAACTAGACCAGGGGTTCCCAACCTTTTTTTACTCTAGAGCACATTCTATAATATCGGTAGGGTGGCGGGCACATCCTATTTAAAATCGACAAACTCCTTCCATAACTTGTCATTTTCCCATAATTTACTTTCTTATTTTCTTATTGTCATCATGTATTAATAAATAATAAACAAAAAGTTTCAAAATAATAAAATTATTTGTCATTTTCAAATTGCATTCACACAGAGACATGTATTCACAAAACGTAAAGAAAGAAAAAAAAAACAACACATAAATGCAAAGAAAACATTTAATTAAAAAATATAATAACGTCAATGTGATCTTTTGCCAGAGCTTCCTATTTAGGAGCGTATGACGATAATCCTGTTAGCAGACAATCATAAAGTTGCTCATCGGTGAGTCGAGATCTATATCTTAATTTTATTAATTAAGTTCATGTTTGAAAACAATGATTCGCATAAATATGTTAAACAGAAAAATGATTCAAATGGCACTAGCCGTTCCAGGCTAGCGTAAATAGTGCAGTCTGGCTCGCCGCTAGACAAGTTGGGACAAGTATCGAACATATTTAATAAACCTAGGCAGTAAAAAAAAAACTGTAACAAATGAATAAAAATAAATCATATTTTAAAATAATGTTTATAAAAAAAATTCTATCTCTGTCGAATAGTGAGAGGTGGGCACATACGAATCGTTCAGCGGACGCCATGGCGCCCGCGGGCACAGGGTTGGGAAACCCTGAACTAGACCTTATACTGCTCTTTATATATACATTGATCTTTCACGATTCGCTGGTGTGTGTTCTTGTGTCCATACATCAATTTTTTTCCTATTTTATGTTAGTCCATATTGATCAGCAGAAGATAGTGCTAATTGCAGCGGTGTTGGTCAGTATCTTCAGCGTTACACATAACGTCTACTCTACAACATCAGCAACATCAGCAAGGGCGTTGTCGTAACATAAATATTCTTGTACACTTGTGCGTGTTAATGCTACATTTTTAATGCCTACACTTTACGTACTAGTCATGTGGAAAATCCCTTTATACTTAAGCAGTAACCCCAACCCTCCACCCACCTTCCTCCGACCCCCCCCCCCCCCCCCCCCCCGCACACACACACCCGGAGCGTTAAGTTCGCGTCAATCTAACCGCAACGATGTCAGTAAACTTCAAGAAGATCTCTAACTTTGTCATTTTCAAGTTTATGCTACGTGAATGCAACACATATTAAAACGATACACTTGAATGCATATCTGCTCTACTTTTTGTTAAAGCGGATTCAACTATATCTCACCGTTAATACAGAGCTAGCTTTCATAGGTGATATAAAAAAAGTTATTTTGGTTTGTTGTCTGTATAGGCTACTGCGTTAGTAAATCTATATATATATATAATTCTCTTCTGGGAGACGCTAGAAAACAAGCTGTAAACGCGCTCCCTACCATCCCCACCCCTTCATGGTCTTAGTGAGCTGTGGTTCACGCAATGTTTACCTTCGTGGAGTCGGGTTTAGTGACGGCTATTAGGGGCAGATAATTTAGTTTGAAACGATTTTAAACTTTGGGGGGGGGGGGGGGGGGGAGGAAGGGGGGTATTATGGTCCTTAACGAGCTACTTATAGTGTTTTAAAGAAATATTTTCAAGGTCAGCGTTGGTACTGTCGAATTCACAAATTATGAATTACTGAAAAGTAGAAAAAACAACAACTAAATAGCGGCGTATGTTATGCCGCGGGCCGGCTCGTATTATATATTAACTTTCTTTTTAGCCGATAAAAACTTTGCTAAGTTTCAGTTAATAACTGATCCTTAGAATTATATCTGCCAAAAAACAAAAAAAAATAGAAAAACTTAGGGTCGGAACTACTATATCGGAGAAAAGGGGGGGAAGCAGACCAAAAGTGGGTCCAAAACTCATCGCCAAAATCGTTTTTAAAAATTGTGGAGGCCGAATTCACTTCTTTTTTCTCATCTAAGTATATATATATATATATATATATATATATATATATATATATATATATATATATATATATATATATATGTTTTTGCGTTTGGCCCTTTTTTCTAGTTCCGCCACTGGATGCACTTGAATACATACCTGCTCTACTTTTCAAAACGAGTTCAATGATTTTTCAACGTCTATAGAGAGAGCGGGCTTTCATAAGTAATACTTGGAAGTTATTTTTGTTGCCGGTGTGTAGTAGGTTGATATATGCAGTATACTTTAATCAGGTATGTTTTTTTTTTCAAATTACATCATACACAATCACTTGCAAACTGTAGAACTCTGACAATTTAATTGATCATGTGTTCATAGAACACTAAATGACAACAAATTATAGTGTTGATTAAAGAGATAGTTGTCTTTTAGAAATCGCACGTTACTCATCGGGTTAACAGAAACTATTTTTAGTAGTACGTGATGTCGAATTCATCAAATACGAATTACTAAATAGTACAAATAAAAAACAGATGTCTAAATGATGCTTTATAATAATGAGCTTTCAAATGCACTTAAAAATAAACCGAGAGTGATCTCCCCTAAACTTTCTCGAATATTCTTACATAACATTACGTGGAACGGCAACTAGGAATACAGACAATATTTTAAATCCATTTTAAATACTTAAACTTTTTTAAAATAGAAAAGAATATCGTAGAAAACAAAATTGCACACAAAGTGAACGCCAAACAAAATGTATATAATAGTGCGAAATAGTATTCGTACTTTATAAATTCACATGTGTATTTTGCGAAATCGGAAATAGCATACATTACTACTTCCGGTCAACGGAAATTACTCAACATTCGACAGATGGCAGAAACTTAGATCTTTTACTTAATTGTGAAATTTCATTTATCTATCTAAGATATTACTTACGTTAAAGGATGTTGAAATATTGAAAGTAGAAAAAGTTCCATCTCCGGTTATCGGAAATCGCTAATAAGTTGATACAGATCTACACATTTGACATAATACTTATATATGAAATTTCATCAGCCTACCTCTAACGGTACTCAAGTTACCGTGTTCGCAAACACACATAGACACACAAATACGTATACACACACAGAGTCATACGGATAAGATTATAAAACTATGATTTTTCCGATTTTGGGAAGTGTAAAAATCTCGGTTTTTTTTGCACGATTACAATACATTCTCTATACTTCGTATACGAGTAAGTAAAAACATAATTACTTTCACTAATAAAATCATTGATCACTAAAGGGATACATTTTTAGAGACAAATGATATTTTATTAATGAGAGTAAGTTTTTTCAGAACTTTAAAAGTTTCTTATTTTATAGTTGTTTAATTTCAATTCAAAATAGTATAAAATATTTTTTTAAATTATATTTTAGTCACTTCTTTTACACAATTAACCCTAATCAATTTGCTTTTGATCCGTCCTAGCTGTAACACAAGCTTCTATTTAACTTGGTTCCTCTGTCGTCAGTCGTCAGTCTGTCGTTATTGATTGAAATGGACGAGCAAAATTTCAGGCACTTCTAACAGACCAATTTCTCTAAATTTCAACACGTGTTTCAGAACTTGAAGACATTGCAACGCGATCATAAATTTGAATTAATTGGACGCCTATTTATTTTTGTATGACTTCATCTATCTGAAACAGTGCTCAAGTTATAGGCCTTTGAAAAAACTATAGTAGAATAAGTGCCATTTCCGGTTATCGTAAATTGCTGAAAAGTTGATACAGAACTACAAATTTGAAATAATACTTGAAATTTTATAAAAATAGCTGTAAAGGTACTCAAGTTATTATGTTCAAAGACACACAAACACACACACACACACACACACACACACACACAAACACAGACATACGGACAGAATTGCAAAACCCAGTTTTCCGACTCGAATACGCATAAAACGACGAAGTTTTGATAAATTTGGATTTATAATTTTAGCCCGATTAGAATAAGTCCCCTATACTCCGTATGTGATGAAGTACTGATGTGTAAAACTGTGAAAACTGTCAAAATTTATGGTGATTTTTGTGTAGGATTACAATTCTTTCTCTATACTCTGTATGCGGGAAAGTAAAAATAAAAGTACAAATAAAAATGCATTAAAAATATTTAATAACAAGCTTTTGTGTAATATTATGCTAATAAGGAGAAAACAAATGTAATTTTCTTTAAATATTTAATAATACACTTCACTTTAAATATTTATGAAGAAAAGCGTGGGTCTCTTCGTAAATATTAGTAAAGGTATCCAATAGATAATAGAGTAAACTACGGTTTTCAATGCAGTTATTTAGATAGTAGATAATTTATTTTCTTTTTTTTAGAGCATTGTTACACAAAAACTTGTTATTGAAAAAAAGATTTAATGCTTTTTAGGGAGATTTTCCAGTATGTGCTACTATTTCTTCGAGCGCTACGTACATTCACGGGCTTTTATTTTTGCAAAATTTAAAGATTCTTTATAACTAAGTAGTGACTTAAAGGGTACTTTTCACGCTTGGCAAATTCGTATATGCTGAATAGTATTTTACCAACTATATTTAAATAGTTATCTAGGCTAATTCCCCAGTTTGACAATGAAATACTATGAAAAGCGTATACATTATTTTTAACTCAAATGAGAAAGTTATTATAAATAAAGCACCACAATATCCGTTTAGCCATGAAAAGCCCCACAAAATTACAGACAGAAACGTTAGTATTAATTTTATAATAAAATACTTCTTCATCCTCAATAACGAAATATTAACCGTAAAAATATACATGTAATAATACATTACCCAACAATTCACAGATTTCTACATTGCCAACACCGTCATGAAGCTTTTAGCAGCATTTCTGATTTTTTCTGGCATAGCGAATGCACAAGGTAACTACCCATTTTAAACATGTTGTCTGCAATAAGTTTATAAAATAAAATTGTTAGGATTTGTTAAAAACTGTTAGGCTTTTTCACAACATTATGACGTATTTCTTTATGAATAAGTGGCTATGATTCTATCATTACAGATTGTGGGGCTGGTTGGGTAAAACGACCCAATACAAATTTCTGCTATTATCTGGAGCAAACTGCTCAAACTTACAATGATGCTATGTATGACTGTGTTTCGAAAAATGGAATACTGTCTCATGTTTTGGATCAGGCAGAACAGGACTTTACATATGGTAACAGGGCTATCTATTGATCAGTCTAATTAAAGACCACATAAGAGTTGTGCGACTCTTTTAATTTGAGTATAATTAAAACTAGAAATTATTTTAACTCTTAGATATATTGCGTATATAAGTTCACCAAAAAAAAAATCCTGCGTAATTTACTTTTTGGAACAAAAATAACTATATTTAAAGGGGTGTAGGCTCCAGAAAAAAACAACTTCTTAATTAAAACGTTTTACGGATTCATTTGTAGTTATCTAAGTTAGGGTACTTAAAGGAAAATATTTGCAAGCAACAGGGACTCTTTTAAAAATATGGTTGCCATGGCAACGGCAGCCATCTTGAAAAAAACAACACTTCGTGGAGTTATAAAATTTCATAACCTAACATATATATCGGCTATATAACCATTCATTCTTCTTCTACTAACATTAATAGAGTCAGCTAGCTAGTTTTTGTAACATAGAACAGTCATGAAATTTTTTTATTTTTTTTTTATTTTTTATTTTTAAATTTGGTATGGTGAAATTTCATTGAAATTAATGCTAAATTTAATAGTTTTTCAAAATAAAAAAACTTTGAAAATTTGAAAAAAATATTTCTAGCCGTTTTTCGGTTTAAAAAAACTAGCTAGCTGACTCTATTAGTGTTAGTACAAGAAGAATCAATGATTATATTGCGGTTTATATGGTACTTATGAAATTTTAGAACTCCACAACGGTCGTTTTTTCTAAGATGGCCGCCGTTGCCATGGCAACCATATTTTCAGAAGAGTCCCTGATACATGCAAATGTTTTCCATTAAGTACTCTAACTTATACATACACAAATAAATGAAAAAAAGGCTTATTAATTAAAAAGTTTGTTTTTCCTGAGCCTACCCCCTTAAATCAATACATTAGTAAAGCTATCGTCGAAAAAAAAAGGTTTACACATCAGTTAAAATTCGAACGCCTGTAGATTTTGATATGTAAGCATAATTTACTCTTCCTATATCTGAATTAAAGGACTGATCAAGACACAAACAAAAGATGTGTGGCTCGGTCTGACTGATATGGACGACGGTGAGGGTACCTGGAGATGGACGGCCTTTATTTGTATAGAAAACACATACTGGGATGAAGGTAAAAAAAATACAAAATACCTGCCACACCTGTTGATTATTTTTTTTTTACAAAATCTAAGCTTTGTTTAACTATACTATAATTTAAAAACTTGTTAGAAACACAATTTACTGGAATATAAAATTGTGTTAGATGTGTAATTAGTATTTTATTTTTCGTTAATTTTTATTTAGCTGCAAAAAATTATAAGTGTCAAAATTACTCTGTAACTTGTAATAATTTATTATTCATCGAAACATGGTTTACTATTGTGTAACCACTTGATCAATAGTGTTTTACTTTTGTCCTTTACAATTTGACCGTTGATAAGCCACAGAAAACTAGCAAGCGGTATTTAATGGTTGCATTTACTTAAGGCCTATAGTTGAACTAGCACATTTTTAAAAGATTAAAAATATAGGTCTACATAATCCGAAAATATAAATATTTATTAAAATGAGTATCTTATATACACACACAAGTGGCGTTAGGCGTATGCTGAGCTGTTGATGAAGAAAATAAACTTTTCATTTAACAACCACTTGGTTTTTAATATAGTGAATTGTTTAAAACCTAAGGCGTAAGTTTCACCCTGAAAACGGACATTTGGCGAGAAAATTAGACAACCAAAATTGTTGTCCAAATAAATATAAGTGTGATTGTGTTTAAGGAGCTAAAAAAGATAGAAAACTAATAATGTTTTTCTGATTTTTTTTTTTTTCTCTCCTTTAGTTTGTGTAGTATTGCCCCCTTAGGGAAAGTCATTGTAATTTCTTCTTTTTTGTGCATAAAGTATCTCGTTTTGTTATAAACGTTTTAATAACTTTTATTTTATTTTTATTAAATTATAAGTATATAGATAAATAAAGCGGATATAAATTCCAAAACAATTTTTAGTATATTATTTATTTATTTTTTAATGACGAGAATCGCAAAGAAATAACAACAAAAAAATATCATAAAAAAACGTTTTAATAACAAGCTTTTATGTAATAATGAACTAAAAAGCAGAAAATAAATTATACATTACTATTTAAATAACTATAAAGAAAAGCGTGGTTCACTTTAGTATTTACCTTTACTAATATTTATGAAGAGACCCACGCTTTTCTTTATAGTTATTTAAATAGTAGTGTATAATTTATTTTCTGCTTTTTAGTTCATTATTACATAAAAGCTTGTTATTAAAACGTTTTTTATAATTTTTTTTAGTACTTTACATGTTTTTATTTACAATAGAGTTGCATGACTAAAAAACATTGCGCGTCTATTGAACGTGATGACGCGTGTGGAGCAGTTTGATAAGACTGCCGACTATTTTGTTCAAAGATTTAATTAATTCATAAAAAAATAATTAGGCAACCAATTAAGTCAAATTAAATGTCATGTTGCATTGTCTTCAAGCCTTGACCCACGTACCAACTACGAACCGTATCTGTTAGGTAGAAGTGCCTGCAATTTCGCGCGGGCGCTTCGATCTAGACAGACAGACAATGAGTTAAATAAAAGCTTGTAAAAAAACTGCGCACCAATTGAACGCAAATAAGGCTCGTTGATAGAATGGAAAAAACTGGTGATTTATAAACTTAACATTGGTTAATTTTTAACATGTTAATTACACATCTAATTAAGCCACGTTTTATTTTCTCACTATATTGTCATTAATTCTTTACCAAAATGTTCGAAAGAAATCGTTCCAGTACAAGTGGTCGAAATAGTTTCGTTAGTTTTCGACAGTTACGAGGATACACTGGAAATTTACTCAACATATGATAATCGGGTTTTTGAGAAATCGTTAATCGCGGAAACTACTACTTCCAGTCACCGGAAATCAGTTTTGTAATACCTCCAACAAACTTCATCAAAAAGTTATATTGAATTGTGATTAACACATCTATATATATAATTCACTTCTTGGAGACGATAGAAAACACCAAGCTGTAAGCGCGCTCCCTACCACCCCCACCGCTACATGGTCTGGTGAGCTGTGGTTCACGCTAAATGTTTATAATCGTAGAGCCGGGTTTAGTGACGGCAATTAGGGGCAGATAATTTAGTTTGAAACGATTTTAAACTTAGGGGAGGTAACTAAGAGGAGTTTACTTTCACGGGGGGGGGGGGGGGGTAGGGGTTAGGGAAAAGAGGGAAGGGGGGTTTATCGTCCTTAACGAGCTACTAATAGTGTTTTAAAGCAAATATTTTCAGTAGCAGCGTTGGTACTGTCGAATTCACAAATTATGAATTACTGAAAAGTAGAAAATAAAACAACTCTGCTCGTATGTATTATTTAGGCTATTTTGATCAAACAAAATTCGTCCCCATTTTTCAGGACAACCAAGTTATGGAAACGGCGGCTCCGAATGTGCCGTAATGAAAGCTAACTCAGGCCTTTGGGACGATATGAATTGTGAGGAAATGTATCCTTATATTTGTAAGAAAAAATTGGGTATGTAATTTACAATTTTAATACAAAGTTTAATATTTTCTGAACTAATTTGTGAGTATTACAGCTATGAGTGTATTGCATGCGAAGATAAGACTTGAAAGATACAAAGAACATTTTAAAATGCATATTTATGATAACATCAATCCTGTGATAAACAATGGTTTTATAGATCACTGGTCGGCTGAAAATGTACGTCACACTGATAGAAAGTGTGGAGTTGGAATTTTGAATGTTTGAATAATCTTTATAAAGTTTAATAATAAAAAAAAGTTCTTTGATATATTTATCCTAATCTTTTAAAAAACTCAGTCTTCTGGTGGGTCTGATAAAGCCCCCCCCCCCCCCCTTCAAATATAATGCAATCTGAAAAAATATTTTAACTAATTTTGTTTACACAAAATGAACCCCGACCTGGGGAATGCCCTAGTAAAAATCAAAATTTTGAAATAATCAATATATATATATATATATATGTTACCGAGTCTATTTACTTGTAGTGCCAAATGTTACCGATTTTACTGCTGACAGCGCCAAATGTTACCGAGTGTATTTACTCGTGCTACCTTTGACCAGCACACAGCATCGACCACAACATAGATACTCGGAAATGCAGGTTTACATTGATCTCTTTATTACATGAATCAATAGAAATGCTCCACATAACAATGCATCAATGTTCCACAAGAATACAATGAACCAACTGACCCCCACTGTCCTCACTAGTCCTAACATAACAGAATGCACGTGTCCATCGTTCCTATTCTCACAAATCACAACACGTCTCCACCGTTCAGCCTCCTACTTGGTACTGCCGGGTTCTCAACTGTATCTACAGTTCACCGTCTCATTATATCCCCTCGTATATGCAATAGTTTCCATTCGTTGCATCAGACTGTGAACTGCGCAGCGGGCTGGTGTTCGTTATCAGTCCTACAACTGTTGCATCAGACTGTAATGCGTTCTTATCAATAGTATGGTAACTATCCTAGTTACATCCACCCCCGCCTTTTTTTTGTGTGTTTTCAACCACAAACAACGCTTGGCAGGTGCACTCCTACAATGTCAAACGCAACACCGTAAAAAAAAATTTACTGTTCCACTCTCTGTCAATGTCGTCACATTCATATAAGACTGACAGTTATTCCTATTTCAACATATCAAATGTGTCTACATCATATTCCTCAGACACACAGTCAGTTCTAGAATTCACATCCACCTCCGCCTTTTTTCGTTTGGTGTCTTCACCAGTTTAGTTTTATAGCGTTTGAACAGTCTGTTCTCATCCCAGCGCGACCATGAAAAAATTGATGGTTGCTGACGAAAAATTTCGTATTCTTTCTGTTTCTCAAACTTCTCCGCGGACCACTTATCTGATGTTCTACTGTCTCTCTGCTTCTGGGAGGACCGGGATCCTCATTGTTGCCGTTATCCTCCACATGTGTATCGCTGTTGTGCTGTTGATGGTGACATGGTTCCGGGATGGGTATGTGAATTTCCGTTGTAGTTTCCGGTTCCCTAATTGTCTTAGCTTTCTTTGTGTGTAAATGCTCTTCTTGAGTATGCCAATATTTCTTTAAATGAGCAATATTCGCCCACCGATCCGGTTTGGTGTGATTGGTGGGTCTTATTTTAAAGGGGCCACCTGCTACTTTAGGCATCTCCACGACTTGCCATATCTCCTGTCCCCAGAGGTTGTGGATTTTGTTTCTGCCTAATGGTTGGCTACGCAGTAATACTTTGTCGTTTAGTTGGAGTGGCGGGTCTTTTGTCTGTACCGGCGGTTCTCTTCGCCGTGCTTCATGTTCTAGTCTTCCTTGTACCACCCTGTACATTTCTCTTATTCGCCTCATATGTTCATTCACATATTCCAGTGCGGTGTATGAGCCAGTCATACTTTCCTTTTTTCCTAGGAACAAGTCAAGAGGTAGTCGAGCCTCCCATCCGAACAGTAACATGTGTGGCGAAAAGCCGGTTGTGGCAGGGGGGTGCAGTTGTATAGATATACCTACTCTGGGAGAAAATCAGGCCAACGTTTTTTCTGTTCAGGTTCTAGAGTACGCAGCAAATCATGCATGCTGCGGTTGAACCGCTCGCACTGTCCGTTTCCTTTAGGATTATATGTGGTTGTTCTAGATTTGTTGATCCCGTAGTGGCTGCACAGTTGGTTAATTACTTCTGACTCGAAGGCCCTTCCTTGGTCAGAGTGTAATTGTATTGGTATGCCATATTTGGTGAACCAGTGTTCTATTAAGACCTTTGCCACTGTTTTAGCCGTCTGATCTCGTGTGGGCACCGCGACAGTCCATTTGGTGAATACGTCAGTCATCACCAACACATGTTCCGTCCCATCCGATGATTGCTCCAACGACGTAAAGTCCATAGCCACAATCTCTAGTGGTTTTGTCTCCAGTAGGTGTCCTGATGGCTGTCTCATTTTGACAACTGGCATTTTTGCAAGCTGACAACTAACACAAGCCTCACAATGGCGTTTGACCTCCATCTCCATATTGGGCCAGTAGCACCGCCGTCGTAATATTTTGTGCGTCCTGTCCTGACCCTGGTGTCCCGCCCTGTCATGTGCCAACTTTAGCACTTGTTCTTGTAATCGTCCAGGCACCACCACCTGGTGTATTGTCCCGTCTATTTGGTCATGAATTCTCCGCATGAGAACACCATCCTTTATACTGAGACGGTCCCACTGACTCAGTAGTTTCTTTGTTTCCCGACCAAACTGTTCTCTTTCCCTTCTTCTTGGGAATTTTTGTTCCTGGACGTATTTCAATAGCGGCTGTAACCCACTATCCGTTCTCTGGGCATTTCTTATCTCTTTATGATTAAGGCAATTAAAATCACTGATGTCCATATGTCGGTGCTCTGTGGATGTGTGCTCCACCACAGTCTGCCCGTTTTGCATCACTTGCACCCCGTGAGGGATATCTGTTGACGCTCTGACCTCACATATTCCTGTCAGCGTTTCTTCCTCATCGCCCGGTCTCTCGTAAGGATTCCTTGATAAAGCGTCCGCATTGCCATTGGACCGCCCCGGGCGATATTTTATCTCCAGGTCAAAGAGTGCCAATTCTGCTGCCCATCGCTGTTCGATGGATCCCAACTTTGTTGTCTGTAGGTGACTCAGGGGGTTATTGTCAGTGTATACCACACATTTAGCACCTAATAGATAGTCCCTGAATTTTTCAGTCACAGCCCATTTTAATGTCAAATGTTCTAGTTTCATGGCGCTGTAATTTGTCATGTTCTTCTCTGATTCCTTCAGAGCTCGACTGGCATACGCAATAACCCTGAAACCTTGCTCCTGTTGTTGTGATAGTACAGCTCCCAGACCTTTAGAGCTGGCGTCAATTTCCTAATATCGGCGCCTCGGTCAAAGCCTTTTTCAGTAGCTTAAACGAGTTCAGGCATTCCTCAGTCCATAATTCACCTATCAGTTGTGTTTTACCTTTCTTTTTCTCCTTACTGTGTTTCTTTGTCATTTTGTTTACTAAGTCATGCAACGGTGCGGCAATTTTTGCAAAACCAGGTACAAATTTTCTATAATAGGAAGCAAAGCCGAAGAATGATCTGACCTCTACTGTGGTTGTTGGCTGTTTCCATTCTTTAACAGCTGCAATTTTTGTATTAGATCGTAGCAATTCAAGTTCATCTGTATAATTCTTCACTTCATTTTCTTTTTCTGTATTCACTGATTTAAGATTTTCAATAGAAATGTGCAAAACCTCTACTTTTTTTTCTTTATCTGCTATAAGAAGTGTATTATTTTCAACCTTTTTCATTAGTTCTAATACTTGCTTTTCTAACTGTTGATTCAATAGCCTTTCTTTTTCTATCATTTCTTCTAGTTTGCCAACACTGTTCTGTTGTCTAATATTTTTATTTTCTTCTTCAGCTAACAGACACTTTAAAGATGAACATTTCTCCTGTGCTTTTAATTTGCATGAACTTTCCCTATCCAGTTTCATGGTTAACCTTGAGATCTCATTATTAAATCTACCAATTTCTTCCTTATCATCATTTTTCTCTGCCAACAAATTGTTCACTTGAAACTTTTTAACATCCAAGTTCATTTCACAGTTCATTTTTTCTATTATTAACAAGTCTTTTGAATTCTTAAGTTCTTCCACCAAGGCTATAGTATCTGTTAGTTTAGTTTCACAATTCTGATGTTCAGAAAGCTTCAAATCTAATTTTTTTTCTTGTGTAATTTGAAGTTCTTTTTCAATATCTGATAATTTCTCTTCAAGTATTGTTTGAGACTCTTTCATTGTTTGTCCCTTTTTGTTTCTTAAGCCATAACCTCGCCACTCTGTAGTCTTGACTTGCCTTACAGAGTGCGATCGTTTCACCGGACAGTACCGTGCCATATGTCCGGGTTGTGAGCAGGACAGGCAGATTGGTCGACCGTCAGCTGTCCACTGGAGTGATGGACCAGCAGGTCGCGGCTGTCAAACCTGTCTATGTTTTGTCCCGTTTTTGCCCTGATTCTCTGCTGTTGACCTGCTTTCTAACCTCTCCAATCGTTGGTCAACCTTATCCAGGTGGGCCAACAGTTGAGCCATCATGGCTTCCATCGTGCCGGTCCCTGTGGGTGGGGATTGTTTCTGTTCCGGCACAGAGACTTTGTCTACCGAACAGTTCGATTGGTCCTCATCCTCGGACCTGCGGATCGCTGAGTTCCTGACCTGAAGGAAGGTCAACTGTGGGTCTTTGTAGACCTCTTCTTTCAAATATCTTCTTGACAGCCCCTCGATGAAATGGTCCCTCAGCAGGCGTGCATCCATGTCGGGTATTTTGCCTTTTACAGCTTCAAAGGCCCTGTTCATTCGGTGTGAATATTCCATCACACTCTCCGCCAGTCTCTGCTTTATACCTACAAACACCGATAGCAGTTGAAGAGCCCAGTGCTAAAAGTACTTAAGTCACATTTTTGTGAAAATCAAACCAAGCATTGATCGTTATTCCTCTAGTTTAACTTTATCTTATAAACAAATAGTGATACTGAAGAATTTGTTTAATTTGCTCTTCCAAACAAACAAATAATATAAAAACGTAATGTTTTATAGTAAATTTTAATCTTTGAACTCATTTTTCTCAAAATGTTGTTTTTGTGACTTAAGTACTTTTAACACTAAGGTCTTCAGTTGCGATCCCGACCGTCTCTCCCCAAAGGTCTCCTCAATTAGATCTAGCACCTTGTCTGGATCTGTTTGGGGGGTTTTATCGTGGCATTTGACCTCTGCCCTAACCGTCTCCCCTATACTGCTCATCAGCACCTTTAATCTTTCCTCTGGTGACATGTATCTCGAGGCCCAGGCCGCTTTGACCTCTTCACAGAACCTGTTGGTTAAGGTTGGATCACACGTCCCCGTAAAATGTGTTTATGTGGGACTCACTGGGCAGGACCACAATATGGATCGGCTTTTCGTCCAAATTAGAAATTCTAATTTTTTTCTGTCCTGGTCCATCTGGAGGCAAAGGGTCATCTTCACTGCTGTCTATCTCTGGGCTATCTTTATCTGGCTCAGACCGTTGGGCCAGCATGAGTCTCTGTCCCTTTCCGATATCTATAATACCACTCCCGCGTCTGCCACTCACACCAAGGAAAAATGCTGCAGCTATGCAGCAGATAGTGTTGCCCAAAAGGGAGATCATGACACATTTCCAGTGTCTAAGAGTTACGTCTATATCTTGGTTGTCATCTTTGCCTAGTATTTGTCCAACAACCAATTTGGAGATACCAATGCCAATTATCTGGATGCTGGTGGTCAGCCCCATAGCTGTCCCCAGGGTGGTTTGTGCTACAACTAGGGGTATACTGGGCCACATGCTTGCAGCAGCAAAAGAGCATGTGACACCAAGCCAGAATGATAATGAAAGGTGTCTCATCTCTGTTCTTTTCAATTTCCTCGATTCTGATTTCAGTTTTCCCTTTTATATATTTCCTTCAAATAAAAAAAGACCTTTCTTACCGTGTATGTAAGAATATTTTTCCCTGTTCCTGAATGTCCGAATTCACACACACGAAACACAGTTATTAACTAGGTTGATAATGGGTGCCTAAAGCGGCTGGTCTAGTTGAATTCTTCTGCTCGACAACGCCAAATGTTACCGAGTCTATTTACTTGAAGTACCAAATGTTACCGATTTCACTGCTGACAGCGCCAAATGTTACCGAGTGTATTTACTCGTGCTACCTTTGACCAGCACACAACATCGATCACAATATAGATACTCGGAAATGCAGGTTTACATTGATCTCTTTATTACATGAATCAAAAAGAAATGCTCCATATAACAATGCATCAATGTTCCACAAGAATACAATGAACCAACTGACCCCCACTGTCCTCACTAGTCCTCACATAACAGAATGCACGTGTCCATCGTTCCTATTCTCACAAATCACAACACGTCTCCACCGTTCAGCCTCCTACTTGGTACTGCCGGGTTCTCAACTGTATCTACAGTTCACCGTCTCATTATATCCCCTCGTATATGCAATAGTTTCCATTCGTTGCATCAGACTGTGAAGCGGGCTGGTGTTCGTTATCAGTCCTACAACTGTTGCATCAGACTGTAATGCGTTCTTATCAATAGTATGGTAACTACCCTAGTTACATATATATATATATATATATATATATATATATATATATATATATATATATATATATATATATATATGTAAACTTATGTTAAGAAAAGAAAATTTAAAATATATACGCATTTATCCAATGCGATACTATCTTTTATTTCTTATTCAGTTTCACCTGGCGATTGGACTTATGTACTGCCAACTAATCTGGTAAATTCCAAATAAATTAAAATTATTTGTTTTATAATTTTACTAGAGTGCCCGTCCCCGCGCGTTACCGCGGGAATATAAGAAATTATGACGTAATATTTTAAGAGAGTTTCACCGTTGCGTTACTAATATTGTATTCTTAGACGTGTGACCTTGTTTTCTAAAACTGAGTTACTTAAATGTAAACAATGCCAGCGCTTGGATTATATTTATCGAGGCACGGGTTTACCCACCCTTCTGCATAAAAGTCTTTAATTCACGTTAATCACTATCTGTAATAGTGAAGTAGAACACATTTTGGTGACCGCCCAGGTGTCAGAGACGTAGAGGGGCGTTCTCGAGAGCTCCCGATTATACTACCACAATGGTGCCACTGAGTGTTCTAATCGACTCCACAAAGTTTTATTGCTATCGGATGAACGGTATATAAACCGTATATATTGCCACCCCAGCGAATTTGAAAATTTGCTTTCGCTTAAACCTCACCAGGAGTATTCTTAACAACTTCCCAAACAGTGTTTCTTCCAGACTTTTTTCTCCGGGGGGGCACTTGAAATCTTCGGGGGGGGGGGGGGCGGTAAACTTTCTTCGGGGGGGCGGACACTGTTAAAAGTATATATTTTCTATATAAATTATATAAATTTCATTTCGTTCGGGGGGGCGGTAAAAAATTTTCGGGGGGGGGGGGGCGAAGCCCCCCCGAAGAGATGCCTGGAAGAAACTCTGTTCCCAAAGTTTCAAGGCGGTCGGATAAAAAGTCTAGTGATGCATAAAAGACAAAGAAACAAAAAAAAGCAGACACATATATTGCTTTATATATATATGGATTAAAATAATATCTGGCATTTTTTAATGGATTACTTTAACTTAAACTTTATAAAGTTCTTGCCAACGATAATACATGAAAATTATTTTAATACGTTAATTAAAACGCTAGTAGTAAAATGAACATTTATTTCAGAAATATAACTATTTAGTTTTCAAGATCTCAGTTTAGATATATGTACACAAATAAAAAAAAAACATCATAAAATAGTTTATAACTTTCTAATTAAGTGGATGGTTTTTTTACTATAGGCATGTTTATCCAAAAAAAAATCAATTCGCCACAGATAAACCATTCGATCATTATAGTATAGATTATGTATGTGTTACGCGCATAAATCATATTTTAATAATTGCTATTATTGACTAATTTTCATATTTTGAAACATATTATAAAATGTTTAATTATTTCCTAAATTTAATGTTTTCGAAAATGCATAACAAATGTATTTCCTTTTTCTGTACAATCTATTAACAGGCTTGTAGCGATAACTGCAAAGATAAGTTCCCTTTCGGCGTATGTGTGACCTACGACTATCGCACCAGCCCATGCGTGTATCAACTTAAAATGTTCGACAGTGAATCAAACGGCGTTACAACTTACTACGTTCGATGCACAACATGTTAGTGGAAGGTTTTTAAACATTACGGCTTATTCATTCTACAGATAAAATATGATACGCAAAATGTGACAAACCCGTGGATGTATATAATTATACAATGATAGAGTATGTTTACGCTTGCAGTCTATTGTGTCTTGCAATAATGAATTCTTTCATTGCAGCGCTGACAGTACCAACTACAACTACAAAAACAACTACCGCTCCAACAACAAAGACCATATCGACTATTACTACTCAACCAACAACAAAAATTACCACAACTGTAATCACTACCATCCCAACTACAGCAAGTCCAAGACAGAATCCTACCGCCCCAAGAAGACACCAAAATAAGAACCATGGTATATATATATAAAATTATATACAAATTATCTTTAAACAAAATGTTATTAAAACTAATTTATAAAAGATTAATTCGTTTTACACCGCAAAACGCAATAGAAGCCATGTCACTTAGATAATGCAAACGGCCAATCAAAAATAAGTATAAACATTGTATTATTGTGGATTTAGCATCAGTCAGAGTAAAATTCATAACGCAGCATAATTTTAGTAAACCCTCAGTTTTTTTCGTTTGAAGGAGTTGGTCAAGGCTTAAATTGATATGGAGAAGGTCGAGTTACTCAGGATAAAAATTATAGCTGAGTCTTTGATAAAGTTAGGTGTAGATCAAATTTATTTTTCTATTTTATTCAAAGTGTGAAGTACACTTTTGACATCGAGTTCAATAATTTTGCATTTAAGACAAATTGAGAGAAACGTAAATGAAGATAGAACATATCCATTTAACTTTTCGTTACCATAAGAATTGTACTATTTTATTATTTATGAATTTTTCTTAAATTTCAGATAGCGATTGTGAGGAAAACTCAAGATTCGAATTTTCACATCCGTAAGTTTACCTCGCTTGATATGATTACTTTTGTTAGCTATATTACCTTCTTTTAAGTACAAAAAAGTTGATACTATGTATGTTCTACATTTTTTGTTTCATTTGTTTTATTTTATTTTTTTTATAATCAGAAGTCCTTTTCTGTCGCGGTTTGGTGCTAAAGGGCGTAAGGTAATTTATTCGTTTTACTGTGTTTACCATGTATGAAAAACTGAGGTGATATTATTGCACGTTCAATTGATTTATTTACATTTGCCAGACGTTAAAACGGTTTACAAAAAGGTAACGTATACAAATTCACAATCATATTTCTATACATTAACACAACTTATAAACAAGTCAGACACACAACAACATTACAGCATCAAGCAACAATACAGCATCAATCAAAACTACAGCATCAAAGAACATTAGAACACCACACTGAGAGGACCATTCAAGCTAAAAGGAGAAGAACATCATATCGCCTGCATGAACAGGAAAGATTTCCGCCATCGGACGCGCCACCAGAACACAGACACAGGCCATCAGGCCACGTACACAGGCCATCAGGCCACGTACACAGGCCTTCAGGCTACGGACACAGGCCACCAGAAAACAGACACAGGCCATCAGGCCACGTACACAGGCCATCAGGCCACGTACACAGGCCATCAGGCCACGTACACAGGCCATCAGGCCACGTACACAGGCCTTCAGGCTACGGACACAGGCCACCAGAACACAGACACAGGCCATCAGAACACGGACACAGGCCATCAGAACACGGACACGGGCCATCAGAACACGGACACAGGCCATCAGAACACGGACACAGGCCATCAGAACACGGACACGGGCCATCAGAACACGGACACAGGCCATCAGAAGACAGACACAGGCCATCAGGCCACGTACACAGGCCTTCGGGCTACGGACACAGGCCATCAGAACACGTACACAGGCCATCAGAACACGGACACGGGCCATCAGAACACGGACACAGGCCACCAGAACACAGACACAGGCCATCAGGCCACGTACACAGGACATCAGGCCACGTACACAGGCCTTCAGGCCACGTACACAGGCCATCAGGCCACGGACACAGGCCATCAGGCCACGTATACAGGCCATCAGGCCACGTACACAGGCCATCAGAACACGGACACAGGCCATCAGGCCACGTACACAGGCCATCAGAACACGGACACAGGCCATCAGGCCACGTACACAGGCCATCAGGCCACGTACACAGGCCATCAGGCCACGTACACAGGCCATCAGGCCACGTACACAGGCCATCAGGCCACGTACACAGGCCATCAGAACACGGACACAGGCCATAAGAACACGAACATAGTCCACCTAGCAACGTACAGGAACAGCACATCAGTCCTGTGAGAACAGAACATAAGGCTACAACACTATGACATGTGTGTAAACCGCCATATCTTGCCTTCAACATGCTCTACTCTCATTCACACAAGATTGAAACATGGTAATAACTATGCATAACACTCGGGGGTTCGTTCAATATAATTCACGATCCCACAGGTGTAGTGCACATTAAAGAAATAACATACAATTTCTACCCACCTCTCCCACACACATACAAACACAAAAATTAGTTTAGCTATAAACATTCAAGGAACCAGCCAGCCAAAAACACACATGCCACTAGTAACTCTATTTATTTATTTTTAAATAAATCAATACAAGCTTACAAACATCTTTACATTGTTAATTCAATAGTTCAAACACTTTGGCGTCTACAGTTGTTTGTATGTTTCTCTTGTTTCTACAGCAAGCAAATCGTCGTACTGGCCGCAAGTTTCCATGGCTTTAGGTAAGCCACGACAATAGAAAGCAAGAAAACAGAGGTAAATTTACTGGTAAAAATTTTAGGTAAAACGTTTACAGGTACAAAGGATAAAATAACGGAAGTTGACAGATTTGACAAATTAATTGTTTAAAAATCAGATTAGTAAGCTTTATTTTACCGTATAGCTTCTAAATTTAAATAATTATTATAAAAAGAATGCATTCGTATAAACGCTTCCAGTAATATAAGTATAAATAGCGTTAGAAATTACTTAAAGCCGTTATAATTATTAAGCCTTCTTCCACGTATAACAGGCGGTGCTGCAAAATAGACATCAATTATAAGCAACCTCCTTATCTAGGTAGTAGGTCGCACTACGTACAGTAAGTTTTGTAATGGAAATCGAATAGCTCAATAACATCCGAAGATATCTGATCCTTATCTGTCTTTGACTGAAGGTAAAACAGCCTGAATAAATCTAACCATCGGTAGCTCACTCAGCTAGAATGTATTATTTTAATGTTAACAAAAGCTGAGAAAATTTCGTTCTTTTTCAATATGAAAAGTAAAATGTAATACAATTTTTTAATGTAAGTAACTCTAACACATTGTTTTTGTTTACAGCTAATTTTGGCCATTCTAGCAACAGCCTGGCATGCATCAATATTGTTACGTCATGTAGTAGTCTTGAACAGTACTCTTTTTAATTAAAAAAAAATATATGCATGTTAATGGAGTCTATGATATAAATTATATTTTGTTAAAGATTTTTATCGAAACACATTTTTAATTTATTTTTAAATGTTGCTCATGTTTTGGAAATTAACGTTTTTTTAACAAAATCATTCTTAATTAAACCTTCTGTTTCTATTCGTGTGTGTTAAAGAATAAAAAGCATTGCCAAAGTTAGATGTCTTGTGATGAATTTAATATTTGTGTATGCAATAAAAGGATTTCTTGACAGTTTACGGGCGTGGATCACAGGTTCAGACAAATGGGGGACTTCAACACATGTAATGTGAAATAATTTTATTAGCGACAGATTTCACGTAGCAGCATCACCAAACAAATACTCTTACCCTTACCCATACCCTTACCCTTACCCTTACCCTTAGCCTTACCCTTAGCCTTACCCTTACCTTTACCCTTACCCTTACCCTTACCCTTACCCTTACCCTTACCCTTACACATACCCTTACCCTTACCCTTACCCTTACCCTTACCCTTACCCTTACCCTTACCCTTACCCTTACCCTTACCCTTACCCTTACCCTTACCTTTACCCCTACCCTTACCCTTACCCTTACCCTTACCCTTACCCTTACCCTTACCCTTACCCTTACCCTTACCCTTACCCTTACCCTTACCCTTACCCTTACCCTTACCCTTAGCCTTAGCCTTACCCTTACCCTTACCCTTACCCTTACCTTTACCCTTACCCTTACCCTTACCCTTACCCTTACCCTTACCCTTACCCTTACCCTTACCCTTACCCTTACCCTTACCCTTACCCTTACCCTTACCCTTACCCTTACCCTTACCCTTACCCTTACCCTTACCCTTACCCTTACCCTTACCCTTACCCTTACCCTTACAATTACCCTTACCCTTACCCTTACCCTTACCCTTACCCTTACCCTTACAATTACCCTTACCCTTACCCTTACTCTTACCCTTACCCTTACCCTTACCCTTACCCTTACCCTTACCCTACCCTTACCCTTACCCTTAACCTTACCATTACCATTACCATTACCATTACCATTACCCTTACCCTTACCCTTACCCTTACCATTACCCTTACCCTTACCCTTACCCTTACCCTTACCCTTACCCTTACCCTTACCCTTACCCTTACCCTTACCCTTACCCTTACCCTTATCCTTACCCTTACCCTTACCCTTACCCTTACCCTTACCCTTACCCTTACCCTTACCCTTACCCTTACCCTTACCCTTACCCTTACCCTTACCCTTACCCTTACCCTTACCTTACCCTTACCCTTACCCTTACCATTTCCCTTACCATTACCATTACCATTACCATTACCAATACCATTACCATTACCATTACCATTACCATTACCATTACCATTACCATTACCATTACCATTACCATTACCATTACCATTACCATTACCATTGCCATTGCCATTGCCATTACCATTACCATTACCATTACCATTACCATTACCATTACCATTACCATTACCATTACCATTACCATTACCATTACCATTACCATTACCATTACCATTACCATTACCATTACCATTACCATTACTCTACTTCCGGTTTCTGAAAAGCAATTAGCTTGAGTATCGTTTAAAGTTAGGTGTATTAAAAACAATTAACAAAAATTATTTCTAGAGTCCTATAAGGGCCATCCCACTACTGTTATATTACAAAATAAGCGATGAAGTCTAGGGGAGATCACTCCCTCTTTATGTTACCACGTTACCAACCGCAATATTTCTTTGATCTTAGTTTTTGGTAAACTTGTTTGTCCACACTACTAGCCAGACGCCCCTGGGCGTGCTGTATTTTAGCCTATATTGTACGTCAAGTGCCGTCTGTAACAGTTAGATATAACACACATCTGGTGTCAGGGGTTTTGCGCAGCGCTATCTCGTGTCAATGGTTACCACTTTGTAGGGGGGCAGAAAATGAGACGTTGTTAGCTTTAGTCACCAAATTTAGTGTCCCAAGTTTATGGGAATCTTTAAATTGGATGCAATCGTCATAGTACTCATAATAGATTAGACGCTGTTGCAGTTTGAGAGTGGAATCAAGTAGTACCCGTAGCCTTGTTCAGGACGATCAATTTATACACCCAAAATGCTCAGGTAGCTGATAGGAAACCTGGGGCGCCTAAAGGACGATACTGCCGGGACGCGTCCGTTTTAATTTAGTAACTCTCTCGAGTAGCCCATTGTATCCATAGTGTATAGCGCTCTTAAAATGAACGTAGGCTCCATAGTGGTCAGCGGGAGAACGGATCGCACCGGTTACCCGATCACCAAGGCGCCATTCGATTTGACTTACTTGACTTAATCCTCTTTGCTCCTTGTGGAGCATAGGGCCTAAACCATACCCTTCCACTTTTTCCCGTCCACGGCTTTAAATTTTACAATCTAAAGTCAACCTAACTTACTTAACAATTATAAATTATTTGGCGGTATTTAAAATTAATTATGTTTGTTAAGACTTAAACAAAGTCCAAACAATTTTTTTTTAATATCAATATTTATGCCTTTTCTGACAAATATTTCTACAATGAAAATATAAATAGGATTTTCCAAAACAAAAATATGGATTTAGTACCAAATTTAAATGTAGAAAGTTCTAATATAACTTTATATATAACTTATAACTCGAGAAAATTTACTCCAAAGAAAGATTTGTAAATGAAAACAGAGTTATTCTTTTGCATTTTTAGAACTATGAAGAACTTCATGTGGCATTTTACTGATGACTTAGTTGGTGTGAGTATACACCGTCCATTTTTCTGCAAATAAAAACAGATTTTGATACTAAGTGAAATAAATAAAACATTTTTTTTTCATTTAACAGCAGAATTTTTAGATATAGTTTACAATCCTGCACATCAACATTTAAATATCATAATACAAAAATGTTGCTTTATTTTAATAATCATCAATACAGCAAATATTGTCGGTAATAAGTAGTTAAAATATTGTTTTCTTACATAGTGTCTTGAGGATACATTTTTGAAATACCACACGTAGTACTCACAGTCAGCTAAATTCCTAACCATCATTTTCCTATTTTATAACACGCATAATTTTGTTAACTTGTTTTGTAAGAAAACAATGTTGAAAATTTAGACGTTTAAAATTTACACAATTTCCAATATCGTTTGTTGTCCTCTAATTTTCCTAACGTAGTTATAAATTGTACACTATATCATTGATAATAAATTTAAAATTTGAAACTGAAAAAAAGATTGCTTTTTAAAATGAATGTTCATTTTTCGAAATTGTCACGAAAAAATAATTCGGGAGCGATCTCCCCTAAACTTTCTCGATATCCTTATATGAAACAACAAGGAATGGCAACTCGGGATATAGACATGACTTTTAATCCTTTTTAAATACTTAAACTTTTTAAAATAGAATAAAATCTCGTAGAAAAAAGAATTGCACACCAAGTGAACGTCATATAAAATGTGCAAAATAGTGCGGAATATTGTTAGTACTTTATAAATTCACATGCGTTTTTTGAGAAATCGTAAATAGCGAAAATTATTACTTCCGGTCAACGGAAATTACTCAAAATTTGATAGAAGGCAAAGAATTAAATCAAAGTAGAAAAACTTCCACTTCCGGTTATCGGAAATCGCTCAAAAGTTGATAAGGATCTACGATTTTGATATAATACTTATATATGAAATTTCATCAACCTAGCTGTAACGGTGCTCAAGTTATCGTGTTTACACACACACACACAGACATACGGACAGAATTGGATAATCCTGTTTTTCCTACTCCATTACGCATAAAACGCCAAAAATTTGATATATCTTTATTTATATTTTTTGCCCGATTAAAATAAGTCCTCTACATTCCGGTTGTGATGAAGGACTGAGGAGTAAAACGGTGAAAACTGTCCAAATTTAATGTGATTTTTGTTCACGATTACAAGACTTTCTCTATACTTCGTGTATACGAGAAAGTAAAAAGTGGTATATTCGTTGATTGTTACAACTGACACACGAAACATTGAATTCTGTTACGATTTGAAGCAAACTTACCATCTGTAAAATAACTATCGTCCATGTTTCCTGCATGCCTTCTCTGTAATAAATTAAACGTAAGTTATACAATACTAAATAGCAGCATCTTAATAATTGTAAAGTTTTATTCATAACAGTCAAAGGTTTTGCATGGTAGCAAATATATTTGACTTACTTATTGGAGTAGTTGTGGTAGCAGTTGTTGTGGTAGTAGTTGTAGTTGGTGTACTTCGTGTGGTAATCGTAGGTATAGTTAATGCTGAAGTTAAATACAAAAAATATTCTCTTAACAGACACGGCATATACATATGTTCAGATCAGGTCTAAAATATAATCAAAGGAAGCATCGAATGGTGATTTATTTTTTAATTAAATCATAATACTTGTTGCTTGCACCACTGAAATAGCATTATGGATAAATAAGGGGTGGGTTGATCCAGGTACGTACGGCTATGATCGGTGAAAAATAATGTACATTTTCAACCTCAGTTTCAGACTTTTCATCAGAAAATACAAATAAAACCTTTTACCGACAACATATTTTTCCTAACTATGCACTAAAAATGAGAAAATAAATTTTTGATTTTCTTAAAATGTATAACTATTGTACATAAATATTTAATAATAGATTTAGCGGTTCTCGTGTTTACAGACATACACACATACACACATGCATAAATACACATACACAGACATACGGACAAAATTGCAAAACTATGAATTTCCGGCTCAGGGAAGTGTAAAACGTCGAGATTTGTGAAAAACTCGATTTCGATTTTTAGTACGATTACAATATTTGTATAATTCGTACACGAGAAGGTAAAAACGAGGAAGCAAGTTAAATAAAATCTTGTACAACCGAACGAAATAATGTATATGTCAATGTTTTTCTTACGTATATAATGTGCGTATTCTCCTTAGAATATTACGTGTATTTATAATTTTATGTTGCCAGATTATTTGTCTGTTGATGTGTGTGATTGAATAATATTATTTTTCTAATAATATTATATTTTCATAATAAAAACCCATTAATCTTTCAAAACATTCTACTAACATGTTGTGCATCGAACGTAGTTAGTTGTAACGCCGTTTGATTCACTGTCGAACATTTTAAGTTGATACACACATGGGCTGGTGCGATAGTCGTAGGTCACACATACGCCGGCAGGAAACTTTTTTATGCAGTTGTCGCTACAAGCCTGAAAATATTTGAACGAAGAAAGTCAGTTAAAGTTAAACATCTCATATTTCATTGTATGTTAAATAAAATCATTTAAATGTTTAGGAAGAAATCTTTCAAAAGTTTGCTAAATCCTATTTAATTGTCGGAAATGTTAAGGGTTTGAACAAAGGAATTTAAATAAAACAGACATAACAATTTATATCAGCTTATTTTTCATGTATAATACGTGTACCACATTGTGAATTTTTTTTTTCATTTATACATGTTAGCTAATGAATAAGTTAGATCAGTTATACAAAGAAAATGAAATAGGAATCCAAACTGCTTCAACAAAATTTTTTTTTTACAAAACTTTCATAACCAAACGTTTAATTATTATCGGATAAACAATTTGCATGTTGCTTTCGAAAGAAACAATTTGATGAATGACTTGTACAAGGCTATGGATAAGGACAATACAGAAACCATGCACATGCTATGTAACATAGATTTTGTATGTATTTTGTTTCTTATTCACATCTGAATCATACTGTTAAAGAGTGATGTCTTTAAGTGTTTTGTTTTTATGTACCCTTACACTTTCTTTTACCTCTGATCTAACGCTTGCAATAGCATGAACTTAAACCACAGCTGTCACCATAGGTTTAAATATTTACCCTCACTCATACATCTCCTAGAATGTATCTTTAGGTTAGTGTTAATATTAGGTATATAATCATTTTGAATGGTAGTAGGTAATATCCCATCATATAGTTTGGTCTCGATATTTGATTCGATGGTTGGCCTTAATTGTGACGGTAAAATTATTAAGCTTTCATATTGGTCCTAACTTTAGCTTTATCCCTATCATATTCCCCAACCCTAAACCAGGTAGCCTATTTCAAATGATCCACCAGCTTGAACTACAAATGTGGATCAGGTGCACTGTCAGCTCAATTTTTTAAACTGCTAACGTGATACTTACAGATTAAGGGGAGAGAAACCTGAAATTCGGTCTCTTACAACTTTTTACCTACAGAGCTGCGTTCCTTGTAAGGGCTAATCTGTCGGAAGTTGCTTCCCGAATATTGGGAAAACGCAATCAGTCCTGGACATTAATTAACAATTGAATGCTATTCGAGAGAAAGCTACAAATGTTAATGTAAATTCAATTTACCCAATTAGTCGGCAGTATGTAGGTCCAATCGCCAGGTGAAACTGAAAAGCAGAAAATATATAGTGTGTCGATAATGGAAACAATATATATATATATATATATATATATATATATATATATAAATATATATATATATATATATATATATATATATATATATATATATATATATATATATATATATATTATATTATATATATATATATATATATATATATATATATTATATATATATATATTATATATATATATATATTGACTTTTAATTTTGTGTCATATTTGTAAACATTTTCTGCCCAGAGTCTTAGAGAATTGTCAAACTTTAACAGTAATATTCATGAGTGTCTTGGAAAGTTTGGATTAAAAGAGAAAAATAAGACAATATATTTTGTAGACGTGTAAAATTGGTGACCAATTTATCACCATTCTCCAACATAATATATATATATATATATATATATATATATATATATATATATATATATATATATATATATATATATATATATAATATTATATTTATATATATATATATATATATATATATATATATATATATATATATATATATATATATATATATATATATATATATATATATATATATATATATATATATATATATATATATATATATATATATATATATATATATATATATATATATATATATATATATCGGAGTTAGTGAGCGAAGAGCTTTAAGTTTTAATTGGACTTAATACATTCATAGATTCAGTGCACTAATTCATTTATAAAATGTATTCCATGCATATTAAAAATTCGTCAATTACCTAATTTTTTCTTGCAAATGTAAGGATACATTTCCTCACAATTCCTATCGTCCCAAAGGCCTGAGTTAGCTTTCATTACTGCACATTCGGAACCACCGTTTCCATAACTTGGTTGTCCTAAAACATGGGGACGTATTGTGTTTGATTGAAATTGCATGTATAATACATATGCGTTCATCACATTTTAAAATCACAATTTAATCAAGAAGGATATGATTATTATTTAGTCTCGCATATATTTAAAGCAATATAATGTTTACAAATAAAATCTGCACATAAACATTGATATATCTTTACCATAAAGATAGAATAGACTATGTTTCAATGATGTGAAATTATAAATGACAATAAGAACGTTAAATATCGACAACAAAAGCCACACGTTGTCTTATTAAAACATTTGGGTCTGTTTTAGAGACCTCCTATTTCATAATTTAGTATGACGCCTAAGTTTTACATTTTTTAAAAATAATAGAACTTTTAGTAATTATAGACTAATATTTCTATAAATATCAATTCATTAACAAAAATTTCTAATCCTTAAAAAACGTTTTTAATGAAATGTAATGAATATAAAGCTGTATAAAAATAATTACTTTAAAAAAGTGTTAATTATTTAAAGAACGGGAAAAATTAAAGAAATAATATATTATTCTTTTCAATTCTATTTGTAAGTTCATGCTAACTTTCTATGACATGTCATTTGCCGTCCCATTTATTGTTACGCGTATAGTTTAAATGTTAAGACGATTATTATTATTTTTGATAAGTTGATAAAGTTTTATATTGGAATTATTAGTTTCCTCCTATAGATCAAGACATGTATCTTTAATTAGCCCACAATTTTTACCTGCATCCCAGTAGGTGTCTTCTATACAAATAAAGGCGTTCCATCTCCAGGTACCCTCACCGTCGTCCATATCGGTCAGACCGAGCCACACATCTTTTGTTTGTGTCTTGATCAGTCCTTTAATTAAAATAGAGAAAATAAGTTGAACGATGCTCACAGTAACCATAATAAAATATTCTAATAGAAACTTATAATATCGAACTGCTTCGTCTTATTTTGGTGATAGCTTAATTGGTTTATTTATTCCTAACAATTCAGGGTTCATAAATTTGAATATTTATGTGATTCTTTGAGATGAGCACATGTGCAATACTCGCAGTATTTTTATACAGAGTTTCTTCCAGGCATCTCTTCGAGGGGGGGGGGGGGGCGAAACCCGAAAAAATTCTACCGCCCCCCCCCCCCCCCCGAACGAAATGAAATTTATATAGTTTATATAGAAAATATGTACTTTTAACAGTGTCCCCCCCCCCCCCCAAAGAAAGTCTTCCGCCCCCGCCCCCCTCGAAAATTTCAAATTTCAAGTTCCCCCCCCCCCCCCCCCACCGGAGAAAAAAATCTTGAAGAAACACTGTTTTTATAGTAGCTACTACACGCAGTTACCCGTTGGGAATCTGACTGTTATTGGTAATATGGTAATACACACACAAAAACATTATTCTTTTACCGAACTTAATCCGTATGTATTTCTTAGTTGTCCTACATTAGATAGTCTTATTACCATATGTAAAGTCTTGCTCCTCCTGATCCAAAACATGGGTCATTATTCCCGACATGTCGTAACATGCTTCAAATGCATCGTTGTAGCTTTTAGCCGTTTGGGCAAAATAGTAGCAGAAGTTTGTGTTTGGTCCCTTGACCCAACCAGGCCCACAATCTGCAATGGTAGGATTATTTTCATCGAAACATTTTTATGTGCTAAACTTGTGAAAAGAATCACATCTTTTTCTTTAAATTGAGGCAATGAGGTAGTGTAAAATATATTTACCTTGTGAATACGCTATACCCAAAAGTAACATAAGTGCTGCATATAACTTCATCATGATAAACAGCAACTTTGTTTTCTGTAAATTGTTTTAGAGATTGAAAGACTCGTAAATGTGTGTTTATTGATTATAAAAATCGAAAAAAAGAAAGTTTGAAATAAATAACATTTTTAAGGAAACATCCTCTCCTAAAAAGAGGGAATAAATACATGTTTAAAACACTAGATCCACATTTCATTTTTTTTAAATTTAAATTTTAGATTCATCAGGTTTTACAAAACTTATAGAATCTCTGGTTGATGAAGAGAACTAAAAAGTGTATGAGTAGATAATATGTAAGAGTGAGCGTTAGCTTGCACGTGTACTCGTGAGTGGACGTTGACGTGTAGGCCTATGTAGGTGTGTACGATGGCATGAGAGTGGACATAATGGACGCAAGCGAAAATACAATGCAAATCTCTTGATGAATCCATGCCTTAGGTAGGAACGATTATTATAGACTCCCAGGGGTCGACGTGGTCGAGTCGGTAAAGCTCATGGTTGCTAAACCGAAAAGTCTCGAGTTCGAACCCTCGGGCAGATGAGGCTCGTTAGCTGGGGACAGCCACTCTTCTAGGAGAGACAACTCCAAAAATTAAACAACTGTTGTCTTGTAGTTTGTTCTTGGTTGGACAAAGGCTATGGAAGCAAATCCAAAAAGAAAAGCAGGCTGAAATCGGAGTCAATGGCCTCAATGGCGCATAACCAGTTGACACGTAACGCTTAATTGTGTTGGAGGCGTGGTCGAGTCGGCAAAAAGTTCATGGTTGATAAATTCGAACAAGGTCTCGAGTTTAAACCCACTGGCAGATAAATCTCGATCCCCTTCAACACAAATAATTAAGAACGAAGAAGAAGAGAAGAAGAAGTAGACTCCCACAGATCTCATACACATATCTCATACATAGATAAACTACAAAGATGAAGACGTCCGTGAAAGAGTCAGTAGCGTTACTGGTCGTTTTGATAACTTTGTCATTATAGTCAAGTCTAAAAATTTAGATCGTATGGACATGTGAAAAGATAGAATCAAAGATTAGTGAGAAGATACTCCTTGACACAGAGCAATATCATTTTTATCATCGTTACTGGGTGGTTATCGTGGATTATAGGACGCAACGACACATTTCCTTCGTACAAGGTTTTGAGCAATTTCTCACGGTTGTGTCAAAGACTTTCCGGCTGCTTCTCCTTCACGGACAGCTGATCTTTAAAATAAGCTGTCCGAATATAATTATTAACATGCAGTCCATACAACATTTAGAGAGCCCAATAATCCGATCATATATATATATATATATATATATATATATATATATATATATATATATATATATATATATATATATATATATATATATATATATAATTTAAAATTACATTACCAACTTTTAAATTTGGTACAAAGTTTCCATGATTTTAATTCTTTTTTTAAATATCAGAACAGTGATTGAACTATATTTATCATAATTAATATGCAATAAATAACCGACATCGTTACGTTAAAAAGGAAAATAAAACACTACAAAAGATATAGGCCTACTATGAAAAATTATCCAATATTTAACCAGCTTCTATTGGCCTATTCTATTCTATAGTAAGGCCGAATCGTGTGTGCAACATACAGTCACTTCGTTTTTCTAATTCTTCGTTCTTAATGGGTAATGCGCCATTTTAGGCCATTGGCAGCACTTGTTTGATTTTGGTGTTGTCTCTCCCGGAAGAGTTGCTGTCACCTGCTATCGAGCCACATCTGTTCGAAGGTACAAACTAGAGACTTTTCCATTTAGCAACCATGAGCTTTACCGACTTGACCACGCGGACACGAATATACAGTCGATCAACAAAATAAAATGATATACTATTAATAATAATAACTTTTTTAAAATCTGAAAATGAAGGTACTAAACTATAAACATATTAGGCTTACCAAAGAAGAATGAAGAACTTGATTCACACTGCGATCGGTAGCCTTTACCAATCTGTGCACTAATTTATTAATCAATAAACAACTATTTTCTGTATCGTTTTAAACCTACGTGTTATATATAACAAACTGTGACTCACTAACATAATGTCGTGAAGCTTAACCTGCTGTTTCATAATGTATCGATTCCAACCCAAGTCAATGATGTTAAGTATAAATAATTAATTTTTGCGGAAAGTTCATATTTTGTTTCCATGTTACAATATAAGTAAGCGAATATGAAAGCAATTACGAAAGAGGAAGAGGGTTATTTTACATTTCGTATGCCTCATCATCATTTTTTTCCCGTTCGTGCTCAAAACAGATGGAGCAAATTAGGTAGACTGCATCTATTTCAAAGACCTCGACATCTGAAGGGATAGTGTTGGCAGCATTATAACCAGGCGCATTTACTTTCCTTAACTTGAGTTGGGTACCCATCGGAGATGGGTGGACTCAGGGACGTTTTACTGACTTGAACCCGTATTCGAACTCCAGAATTTCGTGTTAACAGGCTGGGTCTAAACAGCTACCCTCACGCCCCCATCTTATACCTCACTCCAGCTACAATTTTCTAGTTTTCTGTAGATTTCATTTGATCCTAAATGAATAGATAAGCATCCAATTTTTATTTCAGGGAACCCTCGGGTGGAAGGGGGGGGGAGATTACAAAATATTCAAGCTCCTCTCTTTCGAACGAAGAAGATAAATAGATAGCTTATTTAGAAAATATATTTTTCCGCAAGCTCCCCCCCCCCCTTCTCCGGATATTGCAGGGGCCCTATTGAGATTTACATCTCCCTCCCCCCCCCCCCCCCCCCGCCCGTCCGTCCGTCCGTCTACGGAGAAAAATGCCTGAATGAAATTCTTCTTCCATCCACGTCAAAAAATTATAGTCCAACTCACCAACTTATTCTGTTTTTTTTCACAATCCCCTCCCACCCCCCTAATATGAAGGTATAACGGGGAGAGAATTTATAAACCATGAATAACAAAGTGGTGAGTTGGGCCACTTCATTTCTGTACATGTAATATGCGTAGATATGCAACTTCAATTCTATCATTCTTTTGAACTATTGTCCACACAATCTATTCTACGATCTGCATCTATAGATGAGTCTCCCGCACAAAGACCCACGTAAACACCTGTCTCACATAGCTGCATCATGTCAGACTAACCTAGCAATGTTGCGCTAGACATATAATGGTTTATTAAGCAGCTACAACAAAGAGATCTTGTAATAAAACAAAAATAAATTTTAAACGTTAATGTGCATTCCTGGCTGGGTTTAATATTGGATATTTAAATATAAGAGAAATATTTGTACAAAATACCCACTCCCCCAACCACCGGCCACACACAAACACACACACACACACAAACACACAGACAGAAACAGACACAAACACACAGACACAGAAACACACACACAGACTGACACAGACACAAACACAGACACACACACACAGACATACACAGACACACACAGATACACACATAGATACACACACAGACATACACACACAGACACACACAGACACATACACAGACACAAACACAGACCGACACACACACACAAACACAGACACACACAGACATACACAGACACACACACACAGATACACACACAGACACACACACAAACACAGACACACACACACAGATACACACACAGACACACACACAGATACAGACACAAACACGCACACATACACAATGTAAGCCAAGTGAACGACCGCTTACCAGGCACAGTGTGCGCAGACTAACATTATCCACTATCGATTGCTAAATGTATTGTTTAAAAAAATGTGTAAGAAACCCAAAACTCAGTTGCAAGACTCGCCTTAATTTCTTCTGATTTTACCCAAATAGTACCAAGTTCTTTTAATGTAACTATGCCTTCTTTGAAACGGAAAAAAAATAATCATCTTACGGTCATGTGTTCTATACTCTACACACTAAACATAGCACGTTTCTGCTGTTGATTATTATTAATTAAGATTATTTATCCAAACAAGGCTAGATTAACTCTACTAAATCCGATTGTCCATTTAAAAAAATAGAAATGATATTGTTATTCATATATAAAATCCCGCTATGCTATTACCAATAGGAATAATAAGAATGCATTCCAAGTTCTACAGAAACACAATAAATTATTGTCACAAAAAATGAATATTAATGAAACGGCTGTTTTTAAAACCGGAAAGACAGATTAACGAAAATGCATGCTCATCACTTTTACTTCAGTAACTCCCGTTTGTTCTTTATTAATTCTTTAAACATTTTACTATTTTATCTGTTTTTAATAATATAATGGGTCATTTGATATATTATTCGAATTTATGCTGAATCTAAACAAAATCCTCAGTCATCTGGCTCTGGTAGAGACCCCCTAATCAAATCTGATCTGAGATATGTTGTTTGTGATTTTTTTAACACACAGTGTAACCTCATTAAAGTTATATGGCGATTCATTAGTCGCTTTGAGACACCGAATCAATTACAAAGCTGTAATGCCCCCCTCCCAAAGTGTCCGAACAAATTATAAACCGTGGCAGCATTCTAAGTTGGATTTGCTAGGACAACGATTTAAATGGTCATTGAACAAATCATTATTAAAGGATTATCGTTGATTATGCATACACAGAGGCAAAAGTTATATCAATTATGTTATGAGCGTTAACTCTTCAATTTAGAAATGATAAGCGTTTTGCTAGTACAGACTGTATCTGAATCGACAGGGGGGTGGGGATTAGGGGCAACACATGCTCATTATCAACATAACTATCTGTTTAATGTTTGAATTTTACTCACAGAAAACATACGTGCATAGACTAGAATCGGCCTAACAAGAACGCATCTTATAAAACAACCCTAGAATGTCATTTTCTGGAAGAAAAACAACTTTAAAAAAACAAACGTAAAACATAGTACCAAGAAATAAAGCGAGGGTTATCTCCCCTTAACTTTCACATACGTTATTTTTCACACACAAAAATCGCGTAATTAGAATTTCGCATTTAATTAGCGTAAGGGTAGAGTGTGTTTATGTGCGAAAAGTTATTGCTTTATTAAAATCTTCTGATTGAATTTTTAACAAAATTTGTTGAACATCTAATTCAGTCACATTTTATGTCAAAATGCTTTATTATAAAGTCTTGATTGAAATTTAAAAGGAATTGGTCAATATTTACATCGCAAGTTTTCGCCTATGACAGACGATAGTCAGAGAAATAATGTAAGATATATTTTTATTGCTTTTAATAAATCGAAAAAAATAAAAACAGTGTAAATTAATACTCGTGCTCACTCACAATTACACAAAATTTAAAAAAAAAAGACAAACAGCATTTAAAGATATATGATTTTGTTTGAAATTTCGTCCTGAACCGGTGCTCATTATTTTGGTATTTTAAAATTTATAAATAAATTACCACTTTAAATATTTTAGGTCACTAAAAGTTGACCTAGTCTAAATATTAATCAAAGTATTGTATTCCCACGGAATTGAATTAAGTACCATTTCCGATTATTTGAAATCGTTCAAAAGTTGATTAAAACTCTCCGCGTGCATGCTATATGTGAAATCTACATCAAGTTATTTTGGCAGTATTCAAGTTAATGGCTTCTGCTAAAACAGAAGAAGAGTTTTATCAATTTTGGTTATGGGCAGTTGCTGAAAAACTGATACACAGTTACAAATTTAATATTATTTGTAGATATGATATTTTGTCACCATAAATGAAATGGTAGTAAAGCTACCGTGTTAATCAGACGACACACACACACAGAGAGACACACAAACAGACACACACATACATAGAAATACGACATACAGACAAAACTGCAAAACTAATTTTACCGTCTCAGGGCGGTGAAAATAGGTGTTAAATATCTCAATTTTGATTATTCTTTTGTTTTTGCACGATTAAAATTTTAATTTCTATAGTGCCTACTCAGAATACGAAAAGGTAGAATTGTGTGCAATGAAATAGTTTGTCTTACCTTGAAATTAGAGCAACCTCTAAGCACCTAAACTGTGTAGAGTGATCAGTCCAAGCAATCAACATATGCCTTGTCTGATGGCCTTATGTCACAACCAAGCCTGTTATCAAACTCACACTCATCTCGCCCGTACACTTCAGTGCCCAGGTCGACGACGTTGTTCGAGTCTTTAACACAAAGTGTGTTTTGTTACTATGATAATATGGTATCAGTTGCCTTGTGTTATGATCTTTTTTGTTTCAGCAGCCCGTGGACATATGTGTCTTTATGAGTATCTATGTTGGCGTGCGGGTGTGTGTATGTGTGTTTACGTGTACATTTGCCTCTGAGTATGTATTCACCAGATAAAAACACTTGGCGATTTCAGCGTTATATACGTTTAGCAAGTTGAAAGTATAACATTTACAACAAATTCACAGATAATCAACGGGTATTTTCAACACACCCAATGGTTCTAATCCAGTGTTTTTACTTTGACTTAACTTAGTGGCATATTGTGTTATTCCTATTAGAACTAACTTCCACCAATAGTAACAGTAGTTGAAAAAATACATTTAACAAAAAACAATAAAATAAGTTGTTTTTTTTCTTAAATTCAACTTGATTTTAAACGTAATTATTAAAGCTAATGAATCTGTTTGGGCAATTAGGTGTTTTGTTGATATATAAATATATATGAATATTCGTATATTGTGTTTTTGATGTCGTAGTAGTACTCTTATGTTAAATTTGATTAGTGAAAGTTAAACCTAAGCAACCCTACCCTCATGCTGCAAGCGTCCCTATGGTCAAAGCTCCGCTGTGGTCAAACCCCCTACGGTCAAACCCCCTATGGTCAAAGCACCTGTGGTCAGTTTTGACCCATTTGAAGATTTTTTCCGGATATGGCGAGATTTTTCTGACACCCTTATGTATTCTTCTATTACTTCACAAAATATCAAGGGAGATAGTTCGACAAAAGTTTTTTTTCGTAATATAGCTCACATAATCTGATTTTCAATCGCAGTCACTTTTTAGCCCTCGTTGAGAG